CTTGTTCTACAAGTATCGTGTAGACTGTAGATATACATGAAATTCGTATATACTTGTTCTACAAGTATCGCGTAGACTGTAGATATACAGATAGATACGTTATACCGCAACAATGATCTATCATGTTTCCGATGGTATGATTCTATGAATTACGTCATTTGTACGATATCACTGTAATATGAATAGTTCAAAGTTTCGATATGTATAAATAATCATTGTATTTTATATAGAAGACAATTAAATACTGATATGGAAATCACTTATGGAAAAACAAAACTCACTTTCTTATCCTAGTAATATTCGTTTTAATTTTGATCCCGTTTTTTAAACGTGTAATACAAGAAATAAAGCTACAGAACTGAAGAAAACAAACAATTGTACGTTATTATTAGCATCAATTTATTACTATAAAGGCAGTAATAAAGGCCTTGGTAGTAATGAATGAATTATTTGTGAAACGTGCAATTGTCTGTTTTCCTCAACTCCATAATTATGGAGTTTCGCCAAGTACAGACGGTTTCAAGTATTAAATAAAACTACATTAATTTGTAGACAGTTTAGTCGACGGGAAATTTATTTGTCCGATATAAACAATCATTTAAAGATATTACATTATATATATTACACAAAACATTTTACAAACAGGCTGCATACATTCCTTAAATGGGTTACATAATTCGCATAATATTTAGTTTTTTATTGGGTGTTCTTCCCCATACTCGTATGTTTGAATACTAACCTAGATAAAGCACAAAAATAAACTTGTTGTTTTGTTACATTATTTTACGTTTAATGACAAATCAGACAAATAAACAAGTAAAACTCAATTACAAAACAAACCTAAACTTAAATATTAAAATATATATATACGTTTTGATCTCATACAATATAAGGATGATATTATAACGTCAAACGTCTGGCCTGGCATGGCCAGGAGGTTATGGAGCTCGACTCGCACTCTGCGGGGGCGCAGCCGTGGGGGCGATATAATTTGACGGTTAATCCCACTATTCGTTGGTAAAATAGTAACTCAAGAGTTGGCGGTGGGTGGTGATGACTAGCTGCCTTCCCTCTAGTCTTACACTGCTAAATTAGGGACGGCTAGCGCAGATAGCCTTCGTATAGCAAAAAAATCAAACGTCTGTTTTCCTCAATATTCCGTGTAGTTTTCTGTTCCCTGTTCTATTAGCATAAACAACTTGTCGCTCATACATACATACACATATATATATATACATATATATTCTGCGATTGAAAAAAATACATGGAGCTCTCTCTTAATATTTATTTGTACGTAAGGTCCTCTGTCCTGACTGAGAGACACAAAAACACATAATGTTGTTTTTAGTTTCTATAAGCTTGATATGAAGATAAACTACATCAGACCTTTTATAGATGATTTAGGCTAAATAAACAAAGGTGAAATGGGCAGCAGCTGCATAGTTCAGTGTAAAGAAAGTTTTGAAGCAGTAATCTACAAAAGTAGAACAGGTGGAAAGGATGGCGTTTCGAAAGACTTCAGGAACAGCTCCAGATTCAGAATTGTCTAGAAAAAACTACAGCTAATTTGTCACTAATACGCTTTATAAAACAGCTCCAGAATCAGAATTTAAAATAAATAGCAGTTCGTTTCTAGTCTACTCATAAAATACTTACGCTGTATTGGTGTTCATAGTGCACATAATCCTGATTCAGATAATCTGCTAGGTATGTTTATATCGTGCCATTTTTTCCCGTTAAAGTCAGTTTATCTTTTGGTGAGTATTATGTTCTTTTGCTGTTTGAATTTGAATTATCGTAATCATGAGTCTGGATTTTTAGCATAGCGGCTCGTAGAATGGCTCTGAGTTTTTCTCAGAGTTTTTCAAGTAAATACTTTTAGCTCACAGCTCCGTCATCTCTTGACCGATTTGAGATCTAATTATGAAAAAAAAGAACATCCTAATTAAAATCGTTTTAATTAACTTTAATGACTGCATTTTTGAACTGACCCGGAAACGAAAGTTTCAGTTTCTATCAGTAAGGGACAGGTTTTCGATGGCTTGAGAACTAGTTATAATGGGCTACTTTAAAAAACCAGAAAAATTCTCTTATACTGCTCGAGGAGACAACCCCACCCACTTTTCTACATAGAAGCAAGTGTCATTAAAAATTTAGACTAGTAATTAATTTAGAGACTGGTTGTATTGAAACTCAAAAAATTTCATGACATCACAGACTTACACGTAAGGCCAGCTTAGAAGTGGCCAGCTGGACTAAGCAGGAACTACGTACCTTGTTGAAAGTTTGTAGAATTTAAAAAAACAAACAATTGGTCACTCATACTGGACTATTAAATAAGAAACAGTAACGGCTGTTATTAGTACAAAAACATAAAATAATGCTGCTTCACTAGATGACGGGCTTAAACAAATCGCACAACAGATCAAGCACTTTCCTTCACTCAAAGTTCACTATCCACCAAACGCTTATGTGACGTAACGAGATAACACTGGCAAATCACTGGTAAGTCAGACACACCTTACAGGACGAGAGATACTATGACACTTGGAAATAAGCAAAGACATAAGAAAAAACTATACAAAACTTAACAAAAACAATTATTAAAACAGCATTAAAACTTTTTTCAACATTAAACTAGAACTTTAAAGTAAAGAACATCAATACAAGAAAACATTATCCAATGACACTACAGCTAAAGTCTTAATCAAACTAACACATTATATATATATATAGTTAGATTTAACATTTTGGAGAAGAAAACACAAATAAACAAAAGCGCAGCCACAAAACAAACGTCCAACATAGGGGCACAAACCTTAAGGTGGATCATTATGTAATGTAGCCTGATTTTTTGAAGTAACGGTGGAAATAAGAGCCAAAAGGAGCAGATGTGAGTGCTCAAGCCCACAACGTCCCACATCTTTACCACCTTTCGCTGTCTGCAGCCAGAAATGGGAAGATATGTGTTCAATGCTACATTTAATTGTTTTTTATCTAGTAATAAAAATAATTACAGTATTATACATCAATGTGGGAAGCAGCAAAACCGTTCTTGAAAGTTGGCACTCCTGCCCCATTATGATGTTTGTACATAAATACCAATATGTTATGTTACTATTATACTAAATCCAACCTTTCGCTTTTAGTATAACTTGTTTGTTTGTTTGAAGTTAAGCACAAAGCTTCACAAGGGGCTATCTTTGCATTACCTACCAGGGGTATCGAAATCCGGTTTCTAGCGTGGTAAGTCCGCGGACATACCGCTGTATCTTTTTGTATAGCTCCCATCCTTCACCCTTCCATGCTAATATCTGTATTTCCCCAGTAATTCCACTTTAATGATTCTGAAAAGTTCCACACAGTAGCAAGGTCTTAAATAGAGGCTCCTCCAGTGGCACAACGGCATATCTGCGGACTTATACCGCTAGAAACCGGGTTTCGATATCCGTGGTTGGCAGAGCACAGATAGCCCTTTGTGTAGCTTTGTGCTTAATAACAATAGCTTATATAGAGAAGGTGACACAACTACATAAGAAATAAGCAAGAGGGAATCCTCAATAGCCGCGGCACTTGAAATTATTTTAGGTAGGATTAGAGTAAATTAATCTACGAGACCTTTTTTCTTCCTCTCTTTATTAGCTATATTTTTGTGCGCCAGTAATATCAAACGAATATCCAGTTGCATTTTATTACTCATTTGGATATTTTCAATACTGTCCTCAACTTGAATTTTTTTGGGCGGGATTAGAGTAAATTGATGTATGAGACGTGGTCAAATACATGAATCGTAGGGTTTGATCTCCTAAGTCCAAACCTGTAATTAGATTTCAAATCGGTCAAGAGATGTCAGAGCTATGAGCTAAACATTTGTACTTGGAAAAACACAGAGCCATTCTATGAGCCGCTATGCCGTGGCTAAAAATACCCAACTAAACAATTCGAATTATTTATCTTCTCACCAATAAATTTTAGAAACTATTTTTACGGTACATAACATAAGCTAATTTATGTCTTTAATTTAAAATGTACATACATTTGTGTTTTTATATTAAAATTTATGCAAATACCTTTTATATTTACTATAGAATAATTCAAAATATTTAATTAATATTTTATCATAAAAACCATTGAAAATTAATTTTTGTACTAACATATTTATACTGCATATTAAAAACTGTATATTATTACAAATTTTACAATATCTAAGAAGTTGTGAATGTATAATATTCTGTATAGTGGTTAGAGCGCTCGCCTCGCAATCTGAGGAACGTGGGTTCGAATCTCTTTCACCGAATACGTTCGCCTTTTTAGCTGTATGGGGCTTTATAATGTGACGATAAATCCCACTATTTGTTGGTAAAAGAGTGGCCCAAGAATTGGTGGTTGTTGTTGATGATTAGCTGCCTTCCATGGCTAAATTAGAGACGGCTACCTATGTAGGGATGGTCAAGGTACTCAACTGGCATAATACCCAACAAGCCCAAAAGCAAGGCAAGAAAAAATCGCTAAGATACCAAACAGCCTGTATTCCTGACTGTTTGTATGCAGTTTTGTCATCATAATATCATGGTTATGTCAAGGTAGACATTAATGTAGTGTAACTAAGGGCCTAAGACTTATGTATAAACCAAGCGGAGTCAAAACATGTTCTGATAATTACAGACTTTTAGGTATAAATCACTTTGCAAGATATGAGCTTTTAGTCTAAGGCATTATGCATAAAATAACTTTTTTAGCATAATACAATCCTGACATGATAAAAACATCTTGTATAACTTGTCTAGTATTGTACAATACCAGTTGTTGTATCCTGTATTAAAATTGTATACAGAATTTAGGAAATGGTAATTTTACATTTGAGATTACAGAAAATTACATAATTGGGAACTATGGAAGGCATTAAACTTTAAAATAAGTGCTTGTAAGGCTTTTTTTTTATATAATTTATAGAAGATATACAAATTAAAGGGCATACATACATATATATATATATATATATTTATTTTAATATCCCCTGACAGTGTACTAAGGGTGTTTCAATAAAGAAAAATGATGCTCACTTTCTGGTACTAAAATGACCAGATAAATAAATCTGTATATAATACAAGTATGAGTATGAATGAAGTATTCATTTATTACATCACGGTTAATCATGACATAGCTATTCATATTAATATGATCTTTATTAGAATGATTACCATCCTTAGGATCATTCTCACCAAGATATTTGGAACAGATATCAGTATGTATAACAATGCATGCTCATATGTTCAATCATTCTTTAGTATAATTGTTTAACTTGTTGGATGGATGATTTTTTTTCCATTAACACAAAAAAGTGAAAAGTTTCTCAGTTTTGTTGTGCATTTCTCAACTTACACTTGAAAGAATACAGGTTCTAAATAAATATGTACAAGTTTCTTGAGAAATAGTTTCTCTACATAGTAATAGACTAACATTTCTTCATCTAAAACTATCTGGCGCTCACCTGTCTCTCCTTAGCTTGACTGCTTTCACATCTGTTGAAAATTCCAGTTCAATCACATGCTTTTTCTTCAAGTCATCCCAAACCATAACTATAACAAAAAATAAATAAATGCTCTTCAACTTTACGCTGATAAATTATAGTATGAAAGTCCAAAAATTATTTTATTCACAAAAGTTAAGCATAAACAGGGTATGCCAAAAAGTGTCAGACTCAATCACTTGATATTTTTGGCAGACTAAATTCTCATGAAATGTTGCAGCAATATTCACGTTCACCAACTTCCACACATTGTTAAGCCTACATTGATGCTTATAGTTCTCAATTTCTGAGAACTGGTTATTTTAAAAACCTCATGTATATTTTAGCAAAATTGCTATTACCACAATTTAAACTACAAGTAAAAAATACAGTCAAAACACACAAATTGTTCAACATCAGATCACAGATAACTTTGGCTTAACTTTATTTAAGTTTTACTGTAATCTACCTGTTCATTGAGAAACATGTACGTATCAGTTTAAATAGCGATTTTTTCACACTAAAATATTTAATTTACTAAATTAATGTGATGAATGATTAAAAAGATGACACATGGTTAATTTTACTTGTTTTATTAAGTAAACACCACACAAAATACAATTTATTAGAAATTATCTCTAATGCCTAAAACAAAATTTATTTAAAAGAGCTTGCATTTTTTAAATATCTTTATTCCTATTAAATCAAATTAAGAGTTTTGATAATGTTTACTTGCAAGAGTATTTATTAATAACTTCTAATCAAAAGCTAACCATACAATCATAATTAAAACGTAACTTGTAAATTACTGAATCTTATCTTGCACAACAAATTATTCTTACTCCAAACCAAAAAAAGTACTACACCAGTTTCTCTTTTATCCTTCATAATACCTTTGTTTGGTGGATAACGTGGCTGCTTTCCTCCTCCCACTAGAGCTAAGTAATTACATCGAAAAAGCATTTCTACATAACCTATTCCACCATCAGAAAAATCTTGCTTTTCCTTTTCCTTCAGTGGATCACAGTTGTACACACGGAACCCATTCTCCATTCCACAAGCAAAGCATCCTTGGTATAAAAAAAAGTTATTAGTCAGTCTTTCTGGTGTCACAAGATGCTGTAAGGAACTGGCTGAACCAATTTTGATGAAATATGGTAAGGGAACTTGGAACTCCAAACAGATGGAGTTTAACTAAATAAGCAATCAGATGATTAGCTTGGTTTTGGCAGCCATTTCAATTTTATTGTCTTAATGTCCAAATGATCAAGGAAGTTGGTAGCAAAATAAATGAAGCCAAACTAAAGTAACGTTTAATGATCTAATGATCACACAGCACAAGTATCTTTGCATTGGTCAAACAGATCATGTGCTCCAGTTCAAAACAATGAAATGGGGGATGACCGAAGATCTTTTCACTCATCAACTTCACATAGAATTTCCTTAGCAATCTTTGTCAGATTGTACAGCTTACAACCAGGTTGTATGATGTATAATCTGATAAAGAGTGCCAACTTGAAATGTTATCCTCTTAAAATAAAAATATAAAATAAACTTGGCGATTGTTCAGCTTATTTTCTAGATAACAGACACAAGACTTCCTAACAAATATATGTGTGGTACCTTACCAAAAGCTTTCTGAAAGTCTACATACATCAAATCCACTGCATTACCCCTATCTATATTAATTGTAACATTTTCAAATGAAGTTGGGAAATTTATAAGACATATAATTTATTTTCTAAACCTATGTTGCCTATCTTCAGTAATATCAAACTTATTTAAATTATCTTGCAAAATCTCCAAGTACAGACTTGATTAATTTCCCAACTACTGAAATAAAGCTGACTGGCTGATAGCTACTTAGAGATTGCTAATGGGGCTCTTGTGTATGTTCCCGATATGTAAATTTGTGCCTTTGGGTAAAAAGTGTATTAGCATGAACACTGTTTTCAAAGCCAACTTGTTTACCTTTAATAATTTTATGTTGGTCTCGTAGCCATATGTAGTCTTAAATGGAGTTAAACACCCACTTAAGGTTGCACTCTCAAGCAACCTGACTCCAGGAAGAAAACTCCTTGAGTGGCATTGGCAGTTATGAGCCTTTCCCCTCACTCTGATTGAAGTAAGAAAATTATTTGACTTCAGGAGGATCATGTTATGAGAATATGCTAAGAATGTCAGTCATTTTGGATGAGCAAAAGATTCTAAATATAAACAGCTCTTATAGATATTTCAGTGTCCAAGAAGCCATTCAAATCATTGTGTGACAAATTAGGTTAGAATTACTTCTCCCTTCAAATACAGGCATCTGTTGGAACAATCATTACCTGACAGATACTTACAAATCTTTATGCACACACATAACTTATGCTAATAACAACTCACAATTTCCTACTCACATTTTATACAGTCATCTTGTATAAGCTTAAACTACAGTGTATGACGTATCTCAACAGTCACATGATATTGGATGTACAACGTTTTTACTGTTGACTGGTTTGTGACACAGTATTATGTTAATTATTGTAAACATGTGACCCCCAACATTTAGTATGCTGTAGTGTCTAAATACCTCACTGCCAAGTTGTGAAAAAGAGCTCTACATTAGTAGTTTTCTCATTAGTATCACTCATGCAGGCGATATCACATAGATAGGTATCTACTGGTGCCTGCTTTGATTTGCCATTCAGCTTGTGAATGTCACCTGTCCAGTGTTTGTGAATTGTCTTGTGTTGATCTCTATGTGTTAATGAATCGTTTCCAAGTTTAAATGATGTGTCTTTATTGAGCTAGTTAAAGTTTGTAAGTGATCTAGTGGCCATTTTACAGAAACAAAATCATTGCATTTTGTACAAATTATAAACAATAACTCCCAAACCAGATTATCAAGGCATTTCGATAGTCGCATTCTCCTAACTGAAGTCATCAAAAATTATCATTTATCATCACTTTTTTGTTTTCTACCACTAAGCCAATTTATGAAACATAGTTTAATGACAAGTCCCCTACACCTTAAAAGAACTGTTCTCCATTTTTTATCAGAAAAACACCAGCAACATAAGTTGTTTAGCACTTCACTCATATTTCTTTGCTCCACAAAGAGGGGAAAAATGTTATCCCTTTTTTTTAGTTAACTTATACATAAAAAAAAACCTTTAAGCCAAGTCTATGCTTGAACTAACAAGACATTTATATTCTCTCTTTGCTTTAAAAAAATTTTCTGATTTCTTTATTTGAACAAATCTCTACATCTTACATTCTATTTTTACATTACAAAATTTTATAAGTTTGCATTTATCATTTAATAATTCTCCTATTCATTTATTTATGAAAATGTTTTTGGTTGGAGCAGAGTTAGTTTTATTGAAACAGTATGAAGTTTCCAAGCTTCATGTACATTTTTCCCATTTACTTTTATTAGCCACTCAAGTATTCTTGAGTATCATTATTATAACAATTAACTGTTTGTAAACACAAAATTACCTTCAATACTGAGACCAGTTTTAGAGCGAATAACACAACAGTCTTTATCACCCAAATCAAATTTATCTTTACCACCCAAATCAAATTTCAAGGAAGGTGGATTTTCAGATTTTATACACTCCCTTAAAAAGAGTTCACTACTAGATAAAAAAGGCTGTTAGGGTTATTAGCTCTAAAATTGGTTTCAATAACAAAATTAATCTTATGCTCACTAACTATTTGCAGTTCTCTCACAGTTGGTCATTGTTAAGTTTACAGACTTACATCACTAAAATCCGGAATTCAATTTCATGTGATGGACAAACACTGTATGCTCAAGTGTTTTGATTTTCAAATAACAGCAAAATTTAAACTTAAGTACCATCTCAATAAAGGTGTAACAACTACTGCATGGTGCACTTATAATTTAGATTATTCAAAATAATATCTTTGATTCTTGGTGCATGTGAAAAGAAATTCTGAATTCATTTTGAAAACCAAGCTTTATACAGAAAATGAAAAACTGAAATGTAAAAAAAAATGGAAACTAATAATAATATTAGCAACATCTATGTAATACTCATTACTAGTACTAGTAGTAGTATTACATTTACAAATTACAGTACTACTACTACTAGTAGTAGGTAACTTGCGACTGACAAACTTTTAATTCTTAATTATAACTTACGTTAACATTAACTGAGTACTTTGGTAAACTAAAATTGCATTTTTTAGGCCACAGTTCAAAATTATCGTCACCACGTAAGTTAACTCAATAACTGTCACTGTTAACAATAACACCAACAGTATAACTATAACTACGTATAAGTTATAACAATAATACTGTTTGTTGTATATAATTAAAGTAAGCCACTAAAGATTAAATACACAATTAAAATTCAAATAAAAATTATACGGAAGTACTTCAAATTCTGAATTTTTAACCAAGGAGACTTACCTTGATCTTGATTGAAACCCGCATACAGCAAACCATTTTCATAAGGGCTTGAAAGACCTATATTCATGTTGAAATCAACTTCTCAAGCGGCAAACGAAACTAATTTTTAAATTTCGTAAAATATGTTGGTAGTGATGTATTTCAAAACAAATGAACACCTCCTCCTGACATCACATTGCCATCCATTACACACGGCATACTCTAGCTCCAGAGGCTTAGGTTTTTTATTTATTTGTTTAGTTCAACTTAAGAAAAATGACAAGGTTAGACGTTTACACACAACATTATATTTAAAAGATACCTTCTAATTTCAATAGGTATTATTAAATTTATTTAAAGTACATATGCCATAAATACGTATAAGAAATGCTTCGTTCTAGTTCTAAATATCACCTTTTAGTTTTACCAATATCATTGTCACCTGACTGTTGTTATACGTGTATATATATATATATATATATATATCACAATTTTCACTGCCACATAGTGTGAGCGCAGAACGAATTTACAAAGAAGACAAGCTGCAAAATCTGTGCAGTAATAGGATAAATAAAATTTTTTAAAAAGATTTTGATTTAAGTTTCGGATTATATGTAAATCGTTACTTAGTTGCTAAATCTAAGTTTAATTATATTCAAAAATGTGACATTCAGATAATTTTCAGGGAGAAAATTTTGAATATGACCCATTCATGGGCGCCAACAGAAATATTTTCAAGGGTGGGGGCAAAACGTAACCTAACAATGGGACAACAAAGGACCTATTGGTCCATCTAGGCTGTCTCGTCCTCTAAACTAAAACTGTTAATTAAAAAATAAAAAACACCTCAAAGCCAGGCCTTACCATTCGTATAATTATCAAGCTTTCTCTTAAACTTACTGCCACCACAACATCTGAAGGCAACCTGTTCCAAAGGCCAATCACCTTGTTAGAAAAATAAAACTGTCTTAGCTGAAGATGACTCCTACTCTGCCAATATTTATATTTGTGTCTCCTAGTCCTACTATTCTCACTGCTAAGTATGAAAAAAGATGATGCATCAACACTATCAATTTCCTTGACAATGTTAAACACCTCAATTAGATCCCCCCTCTAATTCTTCTTTTTTTCAAGAGAAAACAAGTTAAAAGATATTGACCTCTCCTCCTATGGCAATCCATCCATCCCAGGCACCATTCTAGTAACCCTTTTCTGAACCCTTTCTAATAATTCAATGTCTTTCCTATGGTAAGGAGCCCAAGACTGAACACAATACTCCAAATGTGACCTAACCAATGACGTATACAATGAAATTATAACCTATTTAGACTTATAATCAGTATTTCTGTAGACACAATCTAAAATCCTATTTGTCCTACCACTAGCAACAGCACACTGCTTGAATGGCTTAAACGACTGATCAATCACTACACCAAGATACCTTTCTTTCATAACACTGTTAACATTATTCCCATCCAAATTGGTTTAAATCCTTTGGTAAAGCAGCAGCATCTTCTTCACAGCCAGCAACACACAAGACATTGATATCATCAGGAAATTTAAATAATTTATTGACCATTCCTTCATCTTTGTCATTCATGTAAATCAAAAAGAGCAAAGGTCCTAAGACTGGGCCCTGGGGTACCCTACTTGTGACATTAATCCAGTTTGACTGAACTCTATTTATAACAACCCTCTGTTTACTTCCATCCAGCCACTCTTCTATCCAATTTGCTAACTTATTCCCCACGCCTATAGAGATAATTTTGTTTTACAAGAATATGTGTTATGTGGGCTTAAACGCAAAAAAAACTAAAAACATTTAGTTTAACTACGATGTTAAGTTTACATCATAATACGTGCACTTTTTTGTGAAATGTAAGGGGACAAATATCGTCTCTTGTTCCTTCCTGCGAGCGCCCATAGATCCATTTTCTATCAAACAATATTTTGGATTTTATGTTTGGTTGCTTATTTTTGTGGGTAAGGGGATAACCTTGGTGTTCCTTAAGGTCTTCCAATGGTATGTAGGCATACTGTTCTAGTTGCTCTAATTAAGTAGACGTTACTGATTTAACTAAGTACCATTAGATATGGACAGTTTGGAACATTTTGATTAAGACGGCCAGTTTTGGAAGTAAGTCTTGAGGGAGTATAGATAGTGCGGTATATTTAGATAAAACTGATTATTTCTAGAACAATTGTACCACAGTCCATTCTTTTATGGCATAGGCTCAGATGATTTTAGCAGAATTCAGCATTACTTTGCAATCTATCTTGTCAAGCCTCCTATGATAAAGTGTACCAACATGATCTACTCTTTTATGAAATTTGTTTACCTGAAAATACCAGAGTAGGAAGTAGGTAGGATAAATTTTGATGCCATAACCGCAAAATATTATTGTGGTGTTTTTTATTAATGTGGATATTGCCCTTACTTGAGCTCTTGGGTAATCAAGTGAAAAGAAATGCTTCTTACTTAAAGAATAATATTTTCGGTATGTATAAGTTCTCAAGACCGAGAGAAACAGAGATAGTCACTAAAGAAAGATTGTTGTATTAGAAAGTTGTCGGATCTAGGAGAAAATCTCTCTTGGATGTTGAGCTTTGCTGATGCTTTGAAGATTCATGAATTCAATCTCATTGTAGATGCAGATGCAGGAATACGTCCTTGGGTAATGAAATTAAAAGAAATGATTTTTTTACTTAAATAAAAAAAAATATTTCTGTATAAGTACTGAAGACAGAGAGAAAAAAAGTTATTCACTAAAGATAGATGATTTTATTAAAGAGTCATCGGATCTAGGAGAAGCCCACTTCTGGATTTGAAATTTTGCTGACGGTTTGAAGGTCTGTGACTTTAAATTCTTTGTAACTGCAGATTCAGGAATATCATCAGAAAAAGAGACAGTCGTATAAGAGTGTTTTAGGGTCTAAGAGAAGTCTTCTCCTGAACACTGGGCTTTTGTTGATGCTTTGAAGGCCCATGACTTCAAGCTCTTTGCAGCTACAGATGTAGGAATATCGGCCAATGTATGATAAATCCAGAACAGCAGGTCAAGTATTGCACCTGATAATTAATCTCAGCTCAGTGCAAAGAAAGTAAAGTTGACTGGGGTCGCTGAGATCATATAGGGTGACCTGTACATGGCTCCTAGACCATCGGCATCCAGAGTAACATAATCACACTCTGGTTAAGTCCATTCAAGACTTATTGAGAATAATTTATAGTGTCTTTGGTGGATGAAGTCTGCTACTCAGATTTTGTTTTCCCCGATAGGTGAGACAGTGGGCACCATCTAATGAAGATTGAAAACACGAAGAGTTATAAGCTTTTCCAAGCCAGGAGGAATTTGCCAGGATAACTGGTTACCATGAAGGAACCTAGGGCCATGCAGAGCTGATGAACAAGCTGCCAGAAGTAACCTGTTGCTATTCCACCTTGGACCAGAGATCGACTATTTGTCCAAGGGTTGGAATCCCTCAGTATACCCACTGCACTGCACTGATGATGTCAGTGGCATCTCAGCCAGATATTGATTGAGAACCTGCAAGAGAGAGGCTTTGATTGCAACCATAAGTCCCTTTGAGAAAGGCAAAACAGATTTCATCCCCACACCAATGTCCAAAGTGTACCAAAATAAAGTAATTTCTTGAAGTGTTTCAAACAGCTAACTGTAACAACTGGTCTCAGGAGCAGGTATACCTGATCCTGAGCTCGAAGAGTTTATCCTTTACTCTATTGAATATCTAAGTGGCGCACAACTGGAAGACTGAGATACAGTCATGGTCATCAAATTGCACTGACAGTTCAACCCAGAAGAAAATTGAGAATTAAACAGCAGATAGCTTTTAATCATTATAAATGCAATACAATGCATTTGAGATGTCGCCATTTCAATTATGAGTTAAATTTTGATAAGAATAACCTTAATAGTGTTATGGTAGAAAAAGATATTGGTGTTCTTGTTGATCGGACTCTTATGCTGAGAGACAATTGTACGATAGAGCCTTTTTAAGCCAGGAGGAATTCGCCTGTGTAACTCAGTGAATTAATGTTTTGTGAGAGGGTTATTCATTGTCAGCTAGATTAAGCTCAGGAACAGTGGACTGCATGGGCGTGTGTAGCAGAAGGAATAACAGTAAGGGTACTAAGCTTCTACAGATTGTGAAGACATCTTTGAGGATAAGTTTGGTGACAGACTTTAAGGCCAAATTATGAGGCAACACCTGGTTGCGAGAGATATTCTCACCCTTACAGGGGCAGCTTCCGTAATGACAAGTTATGAAATGGTAAGTTTGAACCAGTCACAAGAGAGGAAGAAGCCAGCAGCAGCAAATGCTAAATCTACACCTCAGATGGACCATCCTACTCAGATTATTGTTCTTTCTAAGTCCTTGAGTAAGGGGACAGATGCCAAAAGATTGGAAGTTTGCTAGTATAACTCCTCTTTTCAAGGGAGGTTATGAAAATTGCCACAATAATTATAGGCCTATTAGTCTTACATCAGTGGTGGGAAAAGTTCTGAAAATCTGATCAAAGATGCTTTTCAAAGTCATTTAACAAAATTTCAAATTTTGGTGGCTAGTCAATATGTTTTTAGTAGAGGAAAGTCTTGTCTTACTAATTTTTTAATTCTTTGAAGAAGTTACTGCTTATGTAGATGAGAGTGCTGCTAAGGATTTGGTGTATTTATCTCTGTAGGTGTGGGGATAGGTTGGTTCATCGGATATAAAATTGGTTGGTTGAAAGAAAGTAAAACTATGCTATAAATAGAGTTCAGTCAAGCTGAATTAATCTCACAAGTGGAGTACCTTAGGATACAGTGTTAGAACCTTTTTTTTATCTAGGTCAATGACATAGATGAAGGAATGGTCAATAAATTATTTAAATTTGCTGATGATATTAAAAATATGTTGTGTATTTGTGTGTTGCTATTTATGAGAAGGATGTTTTTGCTTTGCAAAAGGATATGAATTATTTGATGAATTGAGAATTGGACGGCAGATGGCTTTTAATTATAATAAATGAAAGATCGTGCGTTTGGCATATCACCATTTCAATTACGAGTATAATATCATAAGAATAACCTTAGCAGTGTTGTGGAAGACAAATATTTTGGTGCTTTTAAGCCACCCAAGCAATGTGCTGTTGCTAGTGGTAGTGCAAATAGGATTTTAAGTTGTATATACAGAAATATTAAATACAAGTCTAAAGTGGTTGTAATGTAATTGTATGGGTCATTGGTTATGCCACATTTAAAATACTGTGTTTAGTCTTGGGTTCTTTACCCGAGAAAGGACATTGAAATATTGGAAAGGGTACAGAGGAGGGATAGTAGGATGACACCTGAGATGGAAATGTTCTCATACAAGGACAGATTAATATCTCTGAAATTGTTTTCTCTTTTAAAAAAGAGGAGTTTTTCGTACTTAATGTTGAGAATGATAAGACTAGGAGACACAAGTATAAATTTTGGCAGGGTAGGGATCAGCTTCCGTTAATACATCTTTGTTTTTTCTGAAAGGGTGGTTGGCCTTTGGAATAAGTTGCCTTTAGATGTAGTAGATGCTGTAAATTTAAGGAAGTTTAAAGGAAGACTTGATAAATATTTGAATGATAAGGGATGGCTCTATTCTTATTTGATAGTTTAGTATAGTGGATGGGATGGTCTAGGTGGATCAATATGCCCCTTGTTGTCCTTAAATTAAATTATGTATATGTATATATATATATTTACTAAGTTTACAGGATCTGTTTTTCTGCGTGATAATATATGTTATTCGTTGAAGGCGGATTACCCAAACTTGTCAAATTGACGTGAATTCCTACTATTGCATCTTATGCGTTGTTCCTATTTATGGCGAAAACGCTCGAGCGATGTTCAGATTGTATCGTTTTACTCAGCCAACACTTTTCGTATACTTAGTGTATTGGTAGAAAGAGAGAAACACGTTACATAAAGAAGAGGATGCACTCTTTTTATAAATCGTTTTATAACATAACTTTGTATGTGGGTCGATTTAACCATCTTCATTTTTAGCTTTTTTGTTTTTACACGTTGTTTTGAAATCTCGGTTCACAACACTGCCAAATATCCAAAGTAAAGAAATTATGTACAATTCAGGGTGCTTTGTAATGATGATTCTGTTTGCTACTTTCGTCACCAGACGTCGCATGAATTATACTATAGCACTGGTACTTGTTACAGTAAGATTGAAATCAGAACACCTACAACCTATGCTAAGTAATAAGCAATTAAAACATTTTGTAAAAGTAAAATGACGTATGGATGGCAGTACCAAAACGAATGCAAACAAGAATATAGGGATGATACAGCTATACATAGATCATCCTAGATGACTTTCAATATCAAAATTTAATGTTACACTGTAAAATGCACAAGTACAAAATGATTACGAGGTCGGTCAATTGGACCGACCTCGTAGCATATTTATTTAGCATTTTAAATCCAAGACTACACTAGGATAATGTCAAAGTTATTGTATGCAAAATATACCTATTTTTGTTAGTGGATATAAAATGGATATTTTTAAATGTTGTATAAAGATTGAAAGTTCATGTCAAGGTCATCTCTAGTGTAAAACGGGCATGCTGCTGCTGTATAGCTGTAAAAGTTATAGAAGTGTGTATTTATGGCTATTAAAGTTGTCTGCCACTGTACCTAATTTTGAACTACTGACCAGAGGGAAGGCAGCCAGTTAGCAACACCTTACCACCCACGATAAGGCATTGACTCTCACTCTTATAGCACACCCACAGATTCTTAAAGTGCATGGAATAATTTGTGATATCACATGGAATCGAATCTGGCTCACCAGCTATGAAATCCAGAGGTCTACCACATGACACAAATCATATTTAATACAAAATTCACAAAAATATAATTAATACAAATAACAAAACATTTTTATTTTCACTAACATGAAGTGACCAAAATTAGAGCTATTTAGATATGTTACATAACTAACATATCAAATTTGTATTGATTTCAAATAAGGCACAGGATTTCTTGTTTTAGAGCAGGGTAAATCCTTGGAAATTTCTAGTGAGAACAGAATAAAAGATCTTTCATAATAACAACTTTGTTCCCACAAGGACATGCATTATTTTCGTATAATTTGACTTGTTTGACTTTCTAGCACTCACTTTTTCGCCAAATGAAACAAAAACACCTACGTAATATTTATGTGTACAATTTCATTTAAATAAAAAGTACAAAAAAGTCTATGGTGCAAATACCTCTTTGGGTAGAGATTACTCTTAATATTAGTCTCTTCTACCTACCAGTAAATATTGGCAGTATTCGCTCCTCTCCTTAACTCATTAAGAAGACTTCCCGTCATTGTGTCAAACACTCGGATGAGGGTACCCTAGGGTTGAAAAGAATAACAGTCATCACTGCTATCACATAATAAGTATTTACAAACTACTGAGGAAAAATGTTTCAATCATTTAAACAAAAAGTTAAAATTTGAAAAAGAAAGAGTTGAAAGCTTAGGCATGATAGTTTTCTAGAATAGAACAAAAATATCAAAAATAAAAGCATCAATATAAAACAGGAAAACAAATAAAACAATGTTATATCATATGAATTAAAGTCATTTAAAGCCTATTAGTCAGACCTAACATGCTTTGGCAATCCTAGTTTCCTTTAATGATGGCAAACCCGAGTTTCCAAAACATGTTAGGTCTAGGCTTATAAATTAAATCAGTCTGACTACTTTTTATTACTGATATTTGTACATACAGAAACAATATTTCATATTTAGTTTATTTTTTGCATTAACCAATAACATTCAGATGAAAATGATTGGAAATCTAAGAAATTTATGCAAAAATTTCAACTACTGGAGCTCAGTGATAGAGGTGGAGTCAGTCCTCTGCAAAAAAAACAAATAAATAGCAGCTGTTGACTTTTTAGCTCATAGGCTTCGGTAATCAAGAAAAAAAAAAGATACTTACTCTGTTTACAATTTCTTCTAATTAACTTTAATATTAAATGTTTTAAAATCTACAGATGTTACACTATTAAAAATACCCAATATTTGAAGAACATGTAAAATTGCCAGGTAAATGAAAGTGAATTTAAAAACTTGTTACTATGTTTTAAAATGATAATATTGATAAATTATTAGTGTTAAAACTAAAATAGATAATAATGTGCTATTAATTCTTACTTTCATTCTGACTTGCAAATGACTTAAATAAAAGTGGTATTGATTACATTTCATTAATAAATATACCTCACACCATAACAGCTGATAATAAATAGTGCCTAGAATACTAGTATGTCTGTCATATCTGACCTGTGGAACCCTGGTATTGGGCAAAAGGGCTAGTTGGCACCAGATATGACAGATATTGTTTAGTTCACATATTATTATATATGCTTCTTTCCTTTCACTCATAATCTTTTGACATTTGACAAAACAGCATAATTTTTGAAGCAGCTGTTTTTGAAGCATGCATCAAAGGTTACTTACTTTTTCTGAAGCTGTGGCCAATTTTGAGCCTGGAAGATTAAGAGCTATACAGCTTAGAGCTGCCTCGTGAGCTGGGATGTCAAGTGGTGCTTTTTCAGTGTTGGCCAAGTCGACAATTTGTACGTGTCCCGTCTTTCTTCCAGGAAATGCTAGGAGAGAATTGTTGCTATTGGGACATAACACACAGAGACCTAAATATTCAAAAGAATATTCTTTTCAGTACGCAAGCATGCATATTTGAAATTCAACTGTATTTGTTAGTGGATCTGACATTTTTACATAATTTATTAGACTAATATTTAAATGACAGGAGCACAGCAATCATCAACATGTACAGACCCTATGGACAATATGTTCCCAATTTCCTGAAGCTTACTCTGGTAAGAAAAACACTTCTTAAATAATAGCTTAGCTTATTATAGAACAGATTGAATTTATAACTATTCGTTTTTATGTTGTTGAATTTCACACAAAGCTATGGAAGGGCTCTCTGCACTAGTCATCCCTAATTTACAAATGATAGACTAGAGGGAAGGCAGCTAGTCGACACCAACCATTGCCAACTCATGAACTACTCTTTACGAAGGAAAAGTAGGATTGCCCATAATATCAAAACACCTACATTGCTGAAAGGGTGAGCATATTTGGTGAAGGGAATCGAACTTGTAACTTGTAGATTGCAAATCAAGTGATCTACCCATGAAGTTATGCCAGCCCTATAATTATTTGATGCTCAAATAGTATATAAGATGTTGTCTAAGCAAACTTTATTACTACTATTACAGATGAAAAGAAAATAACCAGAAAAGTGATTTTAAAAGTCCCCCTTCCAAAGTTTACATTTGGATAAAAACAATGAGCCACAAAGATGTGAAGTACAACAAAATTTTCAGTTGCTACTTCAAAAATTCCAAAATAACTTTGTGAGAATGTTGAAAGAGATCTAATTACCACAACTTACAATGAAAATGTGATAATCCCACTTGATATCATTTTACTGTTTCTTTACTATTGGTTCAATCAAAATACTTCATACAACTGATTTGTAAAGGACGACATCAGACAGTCATGTAATAGTATACTTCTAAAAAAATCACCTACTACAAGTAATATAACAACAGTTACACACAAATAATTCAAGTTGATTGTGCAAGGCTTGAATCAACCTTAGAAGAAGGGTACGGTATCATTTTGTACTGCTTAGGAGTAAATGATTGAACTGGAATATACTAATGAATAAAGTGATCAGTATTGTTTCAGTTTGCTTCACAAGTGTGTGTGTGTGTAGCGTCATGCTTAACCTGATATAAGGAATACTAGTAAAGGTTTGTTGCTATTAATGGAGAAACATCCCACAACACTAAATAAAAGATGTAATATTTCTAAGAGATAAAAACTGACATTGAATGGGATCAAAATTCCTGTAATCTAAACCACTACACTAGTAAATTTTGTTCCAGTTTTCTTTATTTATGAATAGCACATGTCCTAGTAAACAATTCCAAATTCAAAAATTAGATACATTTACCAAAGAAAAACAAAAAAGGTTTATATACAATTTCAGAGTACCTTTTGGGTTTGCACATGTTTCAAACACATGGACTTGCTGTGGGTTCTGGGTAAAGGTATAAACTTTGATGACTGCTTCCAGGACTGCCACAATTCTAGTAATGTAACAAAATAACTAGGTAGGATCACTTTACCACACAGGAACTGGTATATCACCCAGTTCAAAAGCTCCCTTATATATATCTATCATCCCATTTTGGAAGTTGTTGATGAAGTGAGCAACCTGCCTAGTGAATTGACAATTAGATCAAACATTTTATCAAGTTTCAGACATTCTTATAAAGATACACAGAAGTCCATTTCAACAACAACTTTCAACTATTCCCTCCCAGTAGTGTTTCTATGTTACTGTCACTATTACATTTTTAGTTTTAAGCAGAACATTTATTATTATAATTTATAACAATTATAATTTCTTTTAATTGCAATTGTTAAGTACAAAAACATTATTCAACATAAGTTTAAGAAATTGTACTATGATTATAGCTTTAAGGCTGGACATGATAAAAAACACACTAAAAGAATAATTTAAAAATATATAAAAAAAAAGTTTGTTTGTTTTGTTGTTAAGTACAAAGCTATACAATGGGCTATCTGTGCTTTACCGATTACAAGTATTGAAACCCAGTTCTTTCAGAGAGAGTGTGTGTGTATATGTATTTATGAGCTTTAAAAAGAAACTCAAACCTACTAACTAGTCATCAATTAAAAATATTAACCAAAGTGTCTTTCCATTGGTATATTATGAGCTACAATGCTGCTACAGGATGTCATGTAATGTTACAAAAAAAGGTTAACCACTCTCTATTACTTTACTTTTGATAAACAAAAGGGGCACAGAAGGTGGAGCTGATGCTCACTCACTACAAATGTTAACAACTACTAAAAGATATGTCTGATTCCACATCTGCTTACTGTAAGTTATTAGTACTGTAAGTTATGTCACACAGGGAGTTGTAAGTCTTTACAATAGAAAAATAATAAAGTGTTAGTACATAAGAATTCAATGTTTAGTTTTAAATTTTAAAAGTGTTTATATGACTGACTGAATAGGAATAAAAAGCGAATCTGGTTTCTTCTCACGGCTTTCTACCCTATGTGTACTAGAGGTGACTCGCAGTCTATACAGTCACCCCTAATACCTCCCCCCCCAGATTAAGCTTGCCTTCCAATGCTCGAAAAGTGTTCTTTTTCTGTCAGTTGGCGTCTACCCATTTAATGTCATCTGCACATCACTGCCTATAATTAGTTAATTAGTTTCTGTTATCACATTAATCAGCAAACCATGATGCCACAACTAGCCACTGAACAGTGTAACTCATTACTTGCTAGTTCACCTTTTTAAAAATGTAGATTAATTAAACTGTATTGTTTTTCTTCAAACAACAACAGCTATTTTTTCAATGCATCTTACTATTATAATTCAGGATAGGACTAAGGTTCTCAGGGGGAGTGGATATATCTATCCTTACCCAGTATTTGAGTTGTAAAAAGTTAACCAGGGGAATTCTTGAAATCTACTCACACATACATGTTCTCACAATGAAGAATTTGACAGCCAGAATTTAAATTTGTTTCTTTCTCTTAAACAATGGAACTATTGTTTTCTTTCCCTTACTTCTAAATTTCAGCACTGCCCCCATCCCCACAACGAATCATCTGTAGTGTTAACAGACATCAAGTCTAATGGTGGGGAGTATTGTGACAAAAACCTTATACAAATTAAAGAAAAAATTAAATTTATCATTCTTCATTTAACCCAAATTTCATTCTTGCATTTGATTTTTTTTAAACATTAGACTATATATAGGGATATATACACTGAGTCCAACACAGAGAATCAAACCCTAAAGTTTAGCATTATAAGACCACAATCTTGCCAATGAACCACCAGAAGGCAACTGCAACATTTCTAATTATTTTGCAAACAAAATTGAAACTGTTCTCCCCATTGATCGTCCTAAAAACAGATTTCCAGTATTTCAAGATACAAGATCAATGACCCTTGATGGTACTTTACAAAATGTATTTTTAGTTTTTCAAATTATAACTGAAAAATTATGAGGAAAAAGATTTTAATGGTACTACACTCACTCAAAACCTTGAGGCCGTTCAATAAAATTTTGTTTTAGTAATTCCTTTTTAGTCAAACTAATACGACAGATAACTGATTAACCTCCAGAATAATCACTGAAAAAGTCCTACATTAACAAAAAACTTTTTCTTGGACTCTGTTATTAAAGGATGAGTGTAGGTGCACTGCTTAGGATACGTTATATAGTTAACTGCTTTTTGCACCATAACCAATTGTATATGTACACATACATTCTAATAAAGCTCTCAAGATTTTTACAACTTCTCCATATTCCTAGTTTGCAAGCATAATGCATGCATATGGGTTAAACTTTCAGGGATTTCAAACTCTTGTTAATCAACTACACTGTAACAAATTTTAAAGCCCCCCCCAAAAAAAAGTGAGAGAGAGCAGAAAATAAAATTCATTTTTAACAAAATTATGGGTCTAAAGTATGTTTAGCATAGCAACAAAATTCAATCTAATTGACTGTTAAACAATGTTTTATAATGGTTCTTCTTTTTTTAACTACTGTAACTCAAAATCCCTTAAAGCCAAGAATGATATGAATTTAGGTTTTGAGAGCAAGACACTGCATATAATTTCAAATGAAACAACTTAAAATATGCATTTGAGTACTCAGTAAATTGTGGGAAAGTCATGACTTAGTTCATTTACAAATTGATTGGGAATTCAAGCCTCGGGTAATGCTATGGGTCACTTATAAGCTTTGCTATAAACTGACTGTCTTCCATCACAGGCTGATTCTTTAGGACTTCATGTATTGGTATAATAACTCTTCACAGGATGGTTTGTTAGGAGGACCTTTGATGTTATAAACTGTTATTATTCCAGTAAATGAAGTCTCCATAAAGAACCAGAATTAAACAATAGATTGAACAATTGCCAAATTTTTTTTATTAAAAGAAGAATGACATTTTGAGCTAGCGCTCTTTGCAAGATCTGTATTATCTGACGAAGAGCACTAGCTGGAAATGTCATCCTTCTTTTAATAAAAATAATATAGAAAAAAAACTTGCCAATTGTTCAACCTATTGTTTAATTTTTGTTATTTTCCTCGCCTACATGGTTTAACTTTCCATAAAGAACCAGCCCATGATAGAAGAGTTACTTAAACAGATATTTATATTATGGAAAATATAATTTCTTCCATGCATTCGTTTTGATCAAAGCATTTTAATGATGTAAGGTAAGGATAATTAATGACTGGTGTAAGTCAGTTATCCACCAAGCTATGCTAACTACAGTTAGTACTGTTTGTAATCCTTTGCTAGCATCAAAGAGCAGCCAAAATATATTTCAGAAAAGCTAGTTCTAGCACTCAGAAATTTTCTTCAATGATTCTACACACAAAAAGGAAAACATGCATTTGCCCAACATTGAAGATGACCTTCCTGCATACTTAAAACAAAACTTTTCAATATGGAAGCTAGTTAATATTCAGTAGAATCAATTTCTGGTTCTCCTATTTCAATGTCGTGTTAGCTAAATTGTCAGAAACCAAACCAAAAAAAAAAGGCTAAGTTATGATTATGGCCATATTTGGAATGGACTACTCGAACAAACACCACAGCAAACCTGTATCGTTCTGTCATTTCTGTTGCTACTCAAGAACAATATCGACAGCAAAAAAAGTCATGGAAGATATATATATGCACATGATTCTATAAATGTCTGGAAACTGAACCTGATGTTTTATTATATGGAGAAGTGATCCATTTCTTTAACTTACATGGTCAAAGTAGCTTAATATATATAGGAGTGTGTTTTCTCAATCAAACTACATTTCACTGTCTTAAAGTGTTGGTTGTTTACTGATGTTCCACATGGAACACAGAGAACTTTGCTTCCTTTGCTGTAGTTTCATGGTCCTTAATGCATCTTTCAAAACTTCAAGAGTCTTTATACATCAAACTACTTCAACTAAGCCTAAACACAAGTCATTATATTTTGCAATTAAAGCTTAAAATGAGAGTCGTTATCATCAAATTATAAACTTTCTATTTACTGCTAAGAAACTGTATTGTTATTACATAATACTGACACTTTTCAAATATGTGATATTTGTGATAAATGTATAAAACTAACAACTTTATATTATGCATCTTAATAAACAATACATTTATGAAAAAAGCTTTGTTCATTTTCATATCAGAACATGATTATAAGTAAATAACCAACTGCAACAAATCTTTGTCAAATAATAATTGCTGACAATGTCTTTAGTCTTCAAATACTTAGAAACAAAAACTCAAGTACTGTACAACCTTTCTGAATAAAGGTACTGGAACCATATCATCAACTTACTGAGTTCTTACAAAATGTTGAATTACAGCTGAAGATATTCAGAAAGAAATTATCAGTTTCATATTTTACTTTTCATTTCTGACCACCAAGAAATGACAGAAGAAAGGTTCTCCACCATGATTGGCTCTGTCATTTTGCTGTTTTGTTTTAACCTGTTTGATTTATTATGACTTCTCATCTCTATCATCTGTCATCTCCAGAAATTGGGTGTAAACGTCTCGGCTGCACTCCCCCTTGGAGTTGAAAACAAACTTGTAGTAGCTACCATCTGCACAGATAACTACAGAAAGATCAAGCATAGATGTTATTATGGTTTGTTGACAATTATGCGCTAAATAATATCAAAAAAAGATAAATATGTGCACTACATCAACAAAGGTAAACAAAAAAAAAGAGTAACTATTTTCGAATTAGGAAAAAAGTACAAAGATGTAAACATGGTTTAACTGGCCTATCTATTTAACTATTCAGCACTTTTTTTTTTAATCTGGTCAACACTTTGTTTTACGAGATGCAAATCAGACATGCTTCCAAAGAACCCAAAATTTCAAAGAATGACCATTATTTCTTCTCTGGGTATATAATAATAAATACTTAAACATATCATACAGATATTAAATACAGTGGTTGAACTTTCAAGTGTCACTTCAAGGCCTAGAAGTTTCAACATTTCCTGAAAAACTTTCACCTTATTGAAACATTAATATATTCTGTCGGTAACCAATCAACATTTTGTTTAGATACATAATTTTTTTTTTTTAAAACTACTCAAAGCATAATTATTTTGTCGTTTTTTTTTTTAAATATCTTTATGCATGCTTGTTTTATTATTTTGAATATCATTATTTTGTGCTGTAAGTTGTTGATGAAACTGATAATTAAATGTACACTGAAAACCACCTGTGAGTAGGTGAATAATATACAGCACTAGTTGTTCTGTTAGTCCTAAAAATTAGTACATTTGTTAACTGGAAATCATGAAAATGCATTGGTTTAAAGTTATAAGTTGATACAAAAGAATATTTGAATTTTGTTTTATTAAAATTTCTAAGTTCACACACACAAACAAAACCAACCTATCACAGAATTAGGATCAGCACCAAAGGCACAGATGCAGTGTGCACCATCGGGAACTTGGAAACGGGAAAAACTCCACTTCGATGCAAAGTATTTGGGAAGAAAAGTTGCTGATGCTAGGCTGAGAAATACAGAATTCACTTAAAGTTAAGATGTAGTTATGAACCTACCTGATGCTAATCTGAAAAACATGGAATGCATTTAAAATTAAGATGCAGAGTAGTGTGCAAGTTTATTAGAACACCTCATTTTCTCTTGCAGTTTTAATTGTTGTGCCTATGAAATAAAACCTTTGTAATTTAAAATCAAATTATTGATTTTTTTCACTATATCCACGAGTTTAATATGCTACACATTTAAATGACTTTAAAACTTAAAAAGAAAAGCAATACATAGCTACAAATGATTAAGTACAGTAGATTTTCAAAATTTGTTCAAGATATCTAAGCAATACAACACTGTCACACATGATTGCCTTAAGTATCTGTACCATTCAGCACTAACAAACATTTGAGATTTTCATATTCTGAGTTTTTCATGCAGGTATGTATATAAAGGATGATTCTGATTCAAAAAAAAAATATCCAGTACAACTAATACAGTGCCATTCACAAAGTACTGTGAAGTAAACATTGGACAGATACAAGGAAACACAGTCCTACAAAGAAAAAATCTAAGATCTGCTGGACTCCATGCTTGTGAAAAGTATCAACTGTGCTAAAGAAAGCCTCTCAACACATCTTCAAAAAAAATTAAATTACACCAGAGATTTTGAGAAAATACAAAGCCACAAAGATTCCAAGCTGTTATTGATGCCAAAGGTGGTCACATTAAACATTAGTATTCAATCAACTTAGACATTATTTATGTACTAATTTTGTAATTGTTTCCTGTAGGATTAATTCTCAATAACTACAAATTAATTGCTAAAATAAATCAATAATTACATTTATATGTAAAGCTCATAAAATGATATTTGTTAAGGTGTTCTAATAAATTTGCATGCTAACCTATCTGACATCTTGATGAAATACTGAATGACTGAGACACGGTTAGAATATTAGTAACTTGTAAAACACTAACTAAATTAGGAATATTTAGCAAAAAGCTTTATTAATTATCAGATCAGTATTAGAACACAGTCCAAAAAATAAAGAACTACTACATAAAACAAAAAATAATATAACAGGAGTGAGTGAAAGATACATTTTTTATTTTATCTTTTGCAAAACCTTTGACACGAAAAGCATGCTGAAACCTCATATGCTTCAAGTTTAAAATATTAACTGAATTTATAATACAAAACAAAACTTAAATATAAAAACAAGATTACTTAAATATTTTACTAATTATAGTTTTATAATATTATACTGGCATCATCTAACAGTTAGGAAAAAAGAGAACTTCTTAGCATTTGATATTGTTAGTGTTTCAATGCTAAATCTATGATATGCTACAATATGCATAATTTTTCAAATCCCATAAAATATTCACTTGTTTAACATTCATAAAGTTTAGTCTGTTTATTTTGCAATGGCAAATTCTCTAAAACAGCTTGATGTGCAAGAGTCACAATTATTTTTTATTTTAAACGTTGTAACGTGCTTCTTAATGTTTAGGGTAGCTTTAAAAAAAAAGATCCCTTTTTTTAATTTGATTTGCTTATAAGTAAAATTTACGATTTGAGAATCATTCACCGTTGTTTTTATAAGTATTAATTACACTGTTTTACGGAAAACTGAATCAAATTAAAAACTTTTACAAAAATACTTGAGCCCTTTTCAATCATATTTGGTACAGAAATACCTCACTGACAAAGAATTGATATAAATTACAACACTACTGGTCACAAGTGTTCCTACCTGGACTGTTTGTTCTTCTTAGAGTCTTCTACTGCAAATATGTGAACTGTTCCATGATCACTGGACACACACAGTAAGGACGAGTCATGGTTAAAGTTGATACTATAAAAAAAATCATCTCATTTTGGAAGTTGTTGATGAAGTGAGCAACCTGCCTAGTGAATTGACAATTAGATCAAACATTTTTATAAGAATACACAGAAGTGGATAGAAACATCACATAAATCACCAGTTCACTAAGTAGGTTGTCCATTTCAACAACAACTTTCAACTGTTCCCTCCCAGTAGTGTTTCTATGTTACTGTCACTATTACATTTTAGTTTTAAGCAGAAAAATATACCAATGGAAAGACACTTTTGTTAGTATTTTATAATTGATGACTAGTTAGTGGGTTTGGGTTTCGTTTTCTAGCTCACAATATACCAAAGAAAAGACACTTTTGTTAGTATTTTATAATCAGTGACTAGTTAGTAGGTTTGGATTTCATTTTGAAATGCAATATGATTTAGGTTAAGTTCAACATGATAGCTTGGAATCAGTTCAGCTAATTCATTAATTATGTAAATATTGTTAAAACACTACATGGTTTGAGTTTATGATAAATATGTGATTATAACTAAGGTTTAGTTCTATTTTTATTACATTCCCTTACAAAACTGAGTGCTTTGTCTTGTAGTGATTTAAGAATAACATTGTGCATTTGGAAAACGTCTGAAAAGTTGACAATCGAATGAGATTGAAGTAGTGGGATGAAGAGAGTGGAAGTGGAATTTAGCTTTTCTGATATGCACTATGCATGCAAGATTAGACTGTACAGCTGTGAACATGTGCTGATCAAAGTTATATGTCACATGCATGGTCTCATTAACAACTACTGCATCAGCCCTTGGTGTTCTTTATGTTAAGCAGTGTTATTCAGCTTCTGTAGCATACCTACACAAGCATTAAAGGCTTTCAAACTTATATGATTGAACTCAAAATTTTGAGTGTTGTAACTAGTACTTCACATGCTGGTGAAAAGTAAGTTTTGAATTTAAAGTCTTTAACAGAACAGTGACAAATGTCATTGAGATAAATACATTTTTTTGCTAGTTCTATAAAGTAGTAATTATACGTTCTGTTAATTTAAACTCAACGTGTTGAAAACTTTTACGTTCACGTTTAACTATTACAACTTTGCTTCTCGAATTTTGTTGACGTTTTGTTTTTTTCTTTTAAGTTTAGGAATTTTTCTTGATGTGTAATTAGCAATGTAAATTAAGCATTCCTGATTTTGGAGATAAGTGCTTGATATTTAGTTGGGAAGGGTAACCTGAAGTGTCCCAGATGAGGGAACTACTTACATGATATTTGGTTGGGAAACTAGCATGTAGTGTTCTAGACAGATGAGGGGGTCTACTTACCTGATGTTTGGTTGGGAAGGTGACATCCAGTGATCTAGATAGGGAAGGAGGATAACTTACCTGATGTTTCATTTAGAAGGTAACATGTACTGTTCCAAACAGGGGAAGGGGGACTACTTACTTGATGTTTGGTGGGAAGGTAATATCTAGTGTCTCAGATGGGGAGGAGGATATACTTACCTGATGTTTAGATATGAAGATAACATTTAGTGTTCCAGATGGTGATGGTATCTATTTACTTGATGGCCATATATGAAGATAACATCTAGTGTCTCAGATGGGGATGGGGCATCTATTACTAGATGGCTGTTTA